TGGAAGCCCTGCGGTTGCCGTCGAGACCCACGCAGTGAGTGTCACTTCTCACCACTTAGAGAAATGGGTCTCAGCCTCCAGCGGAGTGCCGTGAGAAACTTTTCAGTACACGTGAGGATGCGTTGATGTTACATTTGTTACATTTGTCTGCTTTTCTTGGTCTCCTGACGAAGCGAGATGAATTAAACATGAATCCGGCCCGCGTGGTGACGTGATTGGTATGCGCGCGACTCCAGATCGTGTGTAGGTTGATGCAGCCAATTCATCCTTCCGGGTTGAATAAATAATCGTAATTATTTCAACTTGTAACGCGATGCCAGCACACAACAGTGTCCACTCACTCTCGATGAGAAAGAACGACTCAAGAGGTGCGAGGAACCACACAGACAAGCGGTAAACGCTACGGCCAGGCATTGAGCCGGTGTCAACCCCCCCAGAAGCTCTCTGTTCCTCGATATATTAAGGTGCCATCGGCCAATTAATGAGCGTTTACACGTGTTAGAAAACCGCAGCATTAGGGGAAAACCCAGGCGTGTTGGGGGGCAAAAATCTATCCCACTTGGATGGAACAGGCGCTGTCCATATATTGCTGCGTTGTCTTCTGTAAAGCCAGGGTAAATGGCTCCTCTTTTTCTTTTCGCCTGATGAAGACCGCTTGTGTTGCGATTGCAACGTCGTGGTTTTTTGCTTTTATTAGTAATTTATTTTATTATTTTATTATTTCTATCTACGTGATTTTACCGAAAGAACCAAGAATATGGGCTCCTCAATGCTCGGGGGAGAGGAGTTTCACAGCATCTGCGCGGACCACCAGCCCTTGCCTCCGCAGTGCTGGATTGGAGGTGTGTGTAGCCACCGCCGTTCAGCCAATGAGTACGACTTTGTGGAAGTCGTCTGCGATGTTTTCGATGAATCATCTCGCTTCTGGCAAGAGAATAATGTCCACCGTTTGGTCGGCTGTACACAAACGATGGCACCCCCCCCACCCCCCAATACTTGTTAGAGCACCTCGGATTAGCACGGTTGAATACGTACGGTGCGAAAGAAGTTCAATATACAGATCAGGAAAGCACTTGTTCGGACATGGACACTGAACTATATAACAGCCCAATTGATCAACTTGGAACAATATTTATCACCAGGTGAGAGTCCATGCAAGAGGGAGACCTGAATGACGATAGGGCAAACATCCAGTGGTTCGTATTCTGATTATGTTATTGGGACAGAGGATGCGCATGGGTGGTGTAGGAGTAATTTAAATTAATGGTGAAAAAAAACCTTTAAAACAAGAAAATAGCACAAAAAATACCAAATGTTGATCTTTCAATATTCAATTAACTTGTGATTTTTTAAAAATGTATATTGCGCGAAGTTTAGGCACATTTTTTGTATTGCCTATATAAGCATATACAAATTCTAATTGGTTTCCCACTCAAACTATTTGTGGGGCTGCACTAATTCCCTCTTTACCGTCTGCAGCCAGTGGAGGAAATTCCAAGGACAGATAATTCAATAGGATAAGAATGATTGAATTCCTACAATGCGGTTATAATTTTTAACAACCGTGGACAGATGAGGGACTGATCCAACCCCTCATTGGGATTTAAACGTGCAGCCTTTCTGATTACAAGTCAATAATAATCTTAGAGCCCTTTGTCAATCCACTGCTGTATGAAAACCTCCCCATGCCATGTCAGTCATGGGGGCTGTTTGATCGTGTTCATCAGTGTGGGTTTGGTGATGGGATGAGGTTCGGTGGTGAGGACCGTTTCGGATATCACTCACCACTGATGATTGCCTTGGCCAGGAATCGAACTCAGTTCATCGGGTCCCACTGCCTATTATTGTCTTGTAACAGAACGTTCCCAAACGAATATAGAGAGTTCTAGATTTGAAGCTTTCGTGACTGCAAGGATTCATATTCTTAGGTTTTTTCGGTAAAGTCACGTAGGTAAAACATCAAAATTAATAAAAATAAAATAAAATAAAGATCACGACGTTTGTTGCCTCCGAAACGTCGTGATCTTTATTTTATTTTATTTGTATTAATATAGAGAGTGTCGTCGTTCTCTCAGAGCCATAGTGATTTATATTAGTTGCACGTATATCGCACAATCAGGTGTGGCTCATGTACAGGAGACTGCAATCATGCTCCGAAACGGACAATAGCCCATTCAATGCACTAAAATGCAATGGAATGTGATCAAACATTGTACCATTTCGACGTAATATTTTTAATATTGACATGTGAGTATTCATCTTCGTAACGTAATATTTGTTGTTGCGTATATGCGGTAATGGTTGCTGAAATGCAATCACAGAGGTCCCATCGCGATATGCATGCGAATTTGTGCATTGTGCGCTGCACATGCAAGGATAACATGTAACATTAAATATTAAAAACTCAAAGGCAAACACGTGAATGAGGGTCATAATTTTCGTCAAATTTTCATCACAGCCCAGAATCAGAAAATCATTTTTTGGTGGCTCGTCCAGAGTCACTGAGGAGTTAGGAAAGGCAGTAATTGGCAGCTAAAGCCCGAATTTTATGTAAATATAGTAATTTTGCCAAACTAATTCTGAGGATCATGTGAAGTCCAAAGAGACCGTAATCGCACCACTGGCATTAGGAGTTGCTAAATTGAAGTTGCAAGTGGCCTCCTTGATTCTGCGTGCACATATAAAAATAATGCAAATCCAAATTGGCCACATTGAAATGTTGGCAAACGTTGATTTTGCAAGTTTTTTGCCGAAAAATGCAGATACTTTTGGATTACTAATATGCCCACGAGAGAGAGCCTCGCCGAGTCTCACAACTCAATTTCTGAAGGGCCCTGCTACGTTCTCGCTGTATGGTGTGATGATTGCTATGTGTGTTCATGTAATTTTGAAATTTGCCAAATTTTGTAATTTGCCAAATTATGACACACGCTTCTTTAGAATGATGTCATGGGATCTTCGGCATCCACGGTGAAGCAAATGGTGAGTAGAAATCCACGGTTAAGACACCCACAGTATTAACCAGGGTACCCGGCAGGATTCAAACCGTGAACCTCTGCGACAAGCCTAGAACGCGCTCCCACTCGGACATTTCATCACCAACAGAGGCAATTCACCAGGGTGTGTGGATCGCGTGTGGTGGGGTACAGTCTCCCGAGCCGCATGCGGCTCTTTAATCTACCACATCCAGCTCTTATCGAAGGGGCATGACGTAGAACAAGCTGTCTCGGGTGTGGACCAATCAACTTCAAGGACAGTGCACATTATCAGAGTTATGTTCTTTTGTTTGTATTATGACTGCAGGTATTGCGGTCTATGCAAACATGACTCCTTGCAAAAAGGTGTCAGTTTTGTTGCCAGATAGAAGGGTAAAGAACCAATTATCATATTTTTACTGGTAAATGAGGTCCCCATAGTGTAGATGCTTGCCCCGAGCTCTCATACTCTGATGGTGCATTGTCCTTGAGTTGTGCGCCTTTTGGCGTCATCTGGTCCAACCCATATGAGACTAGGCTCGAAGGAAAGCTGTCTCGGGTGTGGACCAATCAACTTCAAGGACAGTGCACATTATCAGAGTTATGTTCTTTTGTTTGTATTATGACTGCAGGTATTGCGGTCTATGCAAACATGACTCCTTGCAAAAAGGTGTCAGTTTTGTTGCCAGATAGAAGGGTAAAGAACCAATTATCATATTTTTACTGGCAAATGAGGTCCCCATAGTGTAGATGCTTGCCCCGAGCTATCATACTCTGATGGTGCATTGTCCTTGAGTTGTGCGCCTTTTGGCGTCATCTGGTCCAACCCATATGAGACTAGGCTCGAAGGAAAGCTGTCTCGGGTGTGGACCAATCAACTTCAAGGACAGTGCACATTATCAGAGTTATGTTCTTTTGTTTGTATTATGACTGCAGGTATTGCGGTCTATGCAAACATGACTCCTTGCAAAAAGGTGTCAGTTTTGTTGCCAGATAGAAGGGTAAAGAACCAATTATCATATTTTTACTGGCAAATGAGGTCCCCATAGTGTAGATGCTTGCCCCGAGCTCTCATACTCTGATGGTGCATTGTCCTTGAGTTGTGCGCCTTTTGGCGTCATCTGGTCCAACCCATATGAGACTAGGCTCGAAGGAAAGCTGTCTCGGGTGTGGACCAATCAACTCCAAGGACAGTGCACATTATCAGAGTTATGTTCTTTTGTTTGTATTATGACTGCAGGTATTGCGGTCTATGCAAACATGACTCCTTGCAAAAAGGTGTCAGTTTTGTTGCCAGATAGAAGGGTAAAGAACCAATTATCATATTTTTACTGGCAAATGAGGTCCCCATAGTGTAGATGCTTGCCCCGAGCTCTCATACTCTGATGGTGCATTGTCCTTGAGTTGTGCGCCTTTTGGCGTCATCTGGTCCAACCCATATGAGACTAGGCTTGAAGGAAAGCTGTCTCGGGTGTGGACCAATCAACTTCAAGGACAGTGCACATTATCAGAGTTATGTTCTTTTGTTTGTATTATGACTGCAGGTATTGCGGTCTATGCAAACATGATTCCTTGCAAAAAGGTGTCAGTTTTGTTGCCAGATAGAAGGGTAAAGAACCAATTATCATGCTGTGCACTACATCAATGCACGTGTGTACACCAGCATGCGATACTGAGTCGGGCCTGTAGGTGGCTGGCAGGGTTATTGAGTAACCTGACGTGTACACCAGACACGTGGTTAATGGCGACTCGGTTGAGGATTGCTGTGTGTGATACACGTGCTGTTGCATTTTACAGGTAAAGGACCCAAATGTTGTTTTTGATAGTTGTAGAAATGTTCTAGTCTTTAAGCTTGGCTTTGAATTTATAGTTTGTGACATATTTAATATATTCACTCTCACCACTTCCAGTGTGAAAGTGTAGGCCGACATACCCTCTAAGAGAGCCTCTCCTGAGCCCCTTTGGCCAGTGGTGGCATGAGCGAACAGAAGGTGGGTGGGGGTTAATACGATGGCCTCGCGTTACCAGGATGAGGAGGCCGTGGTTTGCGGGATCTTGATAGACGGTGATGGTGGAGAGCACGGAGAGAACGAGGCAGGAGAACACCAGGATAAACCTGCGGGGGCGTTTGGGAGACAGCGCAGCAGAAACGCGAAACTTAGCACTTGTGTAGTGACATCGCGGAATGTTATTGTGTAGTGCCGGCCCGAGAGAGGCACGGCGTGCGATGTAACGACATCGCGGACCCCACAATGGTGTGGGTGTAGTACCGGAACTCGAGGTGCTCGGTGAGTGCTGATTGATAGTGCTGGATGGCACCACGCTTGGCGTGCAGTGCCGGCCCCTACAGAATATGGTGTAGGAATGCCGGCCATAGAAATGGGATTACTAAAGGCCGTGGCACTCTGGTTGACCCGAGAGGACACATGACCAGATAAGTCTACAAAGGGGCCCCAAGTGGGGGCTAGGGGTGGTCACGTGGTCGGGGGCCAGATCCTGCTCGAGGATTCTGGAAGGTGGTCGTGGCCAAGGGCGGAGCCAGCCACGCCGCAGAGAATATAAGCCAGGTCCCCCAGAGGGGCCGGCGTTGTTGTTCATCCTGAAGAAACCTTTGTTCTATGTTCTACGTTCTACGAGTCTCCAACACGTGGACCTGGACCCGAGTTGTGGTCCCGGTCCGTAGTAGCTAGTTACGTTGTAACTAGTGTAGTTAGCCTGGTGGTCACCACCATAGGTTGTTATGTTAAGGGGAAGTTACTCCTTGTGTTGGTGTTAAACAAATGTGTTGCCTCCAAGAGTATGTCTGCGACTCAGTTGAATCCACTACACTTGTGTACAGAAATATGTACCCATCATCGTGACCATCATCATCATCACAGGGATAGTCAACCCTGTTAGTTAGTCATTTAAGTACATCAAAAAATAATAATCCCTCAAATGACGGTGTTTGAATGCAAGTGCTGTATGTTGACATTCGTTCGTGCCGTACGTAGCCAACCGTGGTCAAATTTGATGCTTTACTGGTGAAAAACCAAAATCGACCGTGGGTGGAAGCCTGATGGGAACTAATTGCAAAGTAACCCCCCCCCCACCCTCCGTGTATGAGGATGAATCGTATGAACAACTACTCTTAAATCAGGGCGGTCTCATGATGTTTTTTTTCCATCTAGTTCACGTTTCAGGCAATCAAAGCAAGAGTCCCCGATCCAAGTGAGACACACGTGCTTTTGCTTATTTTTGGAGCACTCATGCAAGCTGGGGTATGTTTATAAGGGTCCCACGACGCGTGTATGTACACGGTTGGCTGATGTCAATTGTGGCGCGTTGGTGGCTGGCTGGGTTACTTTAGGAGCCTCTTGTATCCCACACGAGCCGCATGGCCGAGGGTGGCCTCATGCACACTTGCTCAGGAGGGTGTTTTACATTTCGTTGCATTTCACAGATATTAAGAAAAAAATATATATGCATTGCTCATCGATCATTACCTCCTCACTCCAAACATGTGGCACTTTTCTATCGATAATGTAAGGTAAAGGAGTGGGATATAACTAGGGGAAGTGGTGGGGGGTTGGGCAGACGGGCGATTTAACTCGAGTGACAAAGTCCAGGAGTAATGCTTCAGTGACAGCAGTAGTGCCCGTGTGGCCGATTCAGGAGACCTTATTCTTAATACTGAAGCTTCACGGTCATTCCACACAGCATGTGACACGCACCCACAGTGTGTATCTCCCAGGCTGTGATGACGAATCTCCATTTAATGTCATAACCAGTGTTTAAAGTGTATTTACGTAGGTGTAAAGTACATTTTCTCATGAAAATATCTGCTGTACTACATAACAGCGCCACATTTAATTTCATACGTAAATAATATTCTGCACATAATGTATCATAGCGCATTTCATATACATGTATATGATGGTATATACAACATAACGGTATCCTACTGCATACAATATTAATTGTATACTACATATATTATAGTGCATTTAGTATACGCACATTATATGCTAATATACGTATTGTTCTATTGCGTAATCAAAGAGGTCTGCGTTAAAAAGGTTTTTCAGGAGTATCACAGATCGTTTCCCTGCCCCAAAACACGCCGTTTCATCGCCATTTGGTTGCAGCATCAGCTTATTCTTCGCACCTGAATGCACACCGGAGCATAAACCACCGCTCATTAACCACTGCTAAGCACCGCGAGGCCGTGCACTATTGAACCAGCAGTCGCCCAGGCATGTAGGTCTAAGTGGGATCGGCAATAGGTCACTGAATGCGCAGCAAAATGTGCACGTGCCGTACGCATTTCCAACTCCAGTCCAGTACAGAAGGTAGTCGTGTGTCTACCGTGGCCACGGTCGTTGTATCGAATATATGCTCGTATCAATATGTGATGGCTATGCTAAGATGCACGCTGCACTTAAACGCTTAGAATAAACCTGGCTCAACGGCATTGCCGAGTAACAGTTGACTACTGTGACAACGACGAGTTAAGTACCTAGGAAAGCCATTGTCTCAACGCTCTTAAACGAATATCGATTCTTGGTTCTTCTTCACAAACAAACCACGAGTCTCACTATCCATCCCGCCGACGGCTTGTCATATCCACATTCGTGCCCATGGATTTGAGTGACGTGATCTATTAATGCGCTCATCAGCACAGCTCCGAATAACTTCCACTGCCCTGACCTTTAGTTTAAATGAGGGCCAATCGAGCTCAAGTTTCAGGTGTATTTTGTTGAACAAGGGTGAGAACTCAAGAGACCAGAATAGAAGTCTTCTTCGTAAGATTGACCTGGGTCACCAACGTGATCAAAACAAAAAAATAAACGAAACTACATGTTTTATTTGACCAGGTAAGGCCCACGGAGATTTATATCTTTTTTTTGAGAAGTGACTTGGCTATCACAAATGACAGCTCAACTGAGTGGCTTGTCACGTGTGGACATTTGTGGCAGCCAAATACTCTAAACGCGTGTTGTTGATTATAAACCTGGAGGGAAAAAGCAGAGGACCCGCAGAAAAGTTCACACGGCCACGGGGAGAACAAGCAACCTCCAAATATACAGGCGTCAGGGTCAGATCGAATCCACGACCTCTTTTTTACCAGGCGAGGCAGTTAACATCTCACCACCGCCCAAAATAGAACATAGTACATCATTGAAGTAAATAGCAATCAAAACCAAAGCAAGAACACCTGTATCACGTAAGGTACTGTCATTGTCACTCTGTCATTGTGAGCTCTACTCTCAGTCAGGCTGCAGAATCTCTCACTATACCAACAGGCAGACTTAGTAATATAGGTGGAGAGGTGGCGCAGTGGTTAGCACACTGCAATGTGAACCAGGTGACCTTATTCCGATTCCTGGCCATGGCTGACATCAGTACACGCTGGCCCTGGGTCCCCATCCTCTTCGCCAACTCGCAATGACCAGCATGGTGAAGTATGGTCAAACTACCCTCATGATCGAGAGGACATTGAGAGGCTTTCATCCAGTGATGGATTCGTATATTAACATGGCAGGACACTGTTATTATTACTACGGTATGGCCAGAATAAATGAAGAGTTAAACGCGGGTCACACAGACCTAATGCAAGACAAATTTCAAAGGGCATTTAAATCTACCGACCATTTAATGGAATAAATGCGCTGACGTTAGGAGTGACGCCATGACAGAATGAAAGAATACGTCCCAAATCTGTGGGTACTTTCTATCATCCTCCTTAAAAAAAAACACTTTGCTCGTCGTGCGTACACGAGCAAAATTAGTGGCTAAAACCTCAAGCAAGCGAGAGACAAAGGAGAGAGCGCGAGTGATGGGTGGAGAGTGAGCATAGAGAGCGAGAGAGACAGCGTGACAGCAGTGGTGCAGGCTGCCGAAATCGAGACAAAGGGAGAGAGAGAAATCATTGCACACATGATGTCCGAAACAAGGAAGTTGCACATCGCTCCTTCAGTATTTCCAGGTCGCCTTTCACTCGGCAAGCTTTCTATTTATTTTTTTCGTTTGCTTTAATCGTGTCCTTTGCCGAGTGAACGAATGAATTTTGTGCGACAAGCGTTGGTGTTGAAGCTTGGTGTTAAATTTTTAAAAAAAAAATTTCGCCTTCCCTTCAAACTCCCACGGCGTAAAATTGTCTGCTTTTGAAAATACGTCATGAATAAAAGAAAGAGGAGTTTTTTTCCCTAAGAAGAGCGCTGCCTATATAATCTAAGTAATTCACTGCGAGCGAAATGGCTCGTTGGTTTCCCTTGTGCGCCACGAAATTCCTCATGCACGTGTAGTGACATCCGGGATGTCGCGGTATGGTGCCGGCCCGGGAGGTCGTGGCGTGCGATGTACTTACTTCGCGGACAGCACCGTGTGTGTTGCTGAGTGATGCCGGCTTTACTATAACACGGCGTGCGATGCACCGTCATCGCGTACACCCCGTAGGTGGGTGTAGTACCAGCCCTAGCGGTGCTTGGTGAGCGCTGGGATAGAGCGGGCACCACGCATGGCGTGTAGTGCGGGCTCCCACAAGGGGGACCAGGAGAGTGTCAGCCCAGAAACAGGGTTGCCCCAGGCCATGGCACTCTGGTTGACCCCGTAGACACGTGATGCGGAGTGTCCACAGAGAAGGCCCCAGGTGGGGGGGCTAGGGAGTGATCACGTGTCCGGGAAGAGCTCTCGAGAGGGATCGAGAGGGAGCTAGAACACTCGCGAAGGTGGGCGGGGCTGAGGGCGGAACCGGCCCCAACCCGGGAGGATAAAAGGTGGGTCCCTGAGAGGGACCGGGGTCGCTTGGTTCATCAAGCTGGAAGCTCTACGTCCTACGTCTAAAGAGGCATCAACACGTGGCTGGGGACCCGAGTGAGGGTCCGACCCTTCGTAGCTGTAACTCCTCCGTATAGTGTAGTTAGCTGGGTGGTCACCACCCCAGGCTGTGCCTGGTAAAGGGGCAGTTACCCCTTTGTATATATACGTGTTACATTGAATGTGTTGCCTCTGAAGAATAACGTCTGTGACTCAGTTGGACTCACTACACATGTCTACACAGAGCGTATAGCAGGATATCAGCTGCTATTTTTATATTGAGCCTTTGTAATGCGCATCTTATTTCCATAAAATTGT